AACATGAAAATTACTAAAAGTTCCACTTAACCAAGTAATATTTTCGTAGCATTCGTGCAATGCTAGCAAATTTAAGTAACACTTACTCTAAACGCACCTTAACTAAGCGAAGAACTAGAATGACATTGGTGCAATCGGACCTTAAGAATACGAAAATATCATGTTTTTAACGGAAAAGTACAAGATAAAGCTATATGACGCAAAAAACTTTTTACATGTCATTTCTCGCCTCTGACGTCACACAACCCATGTCGCGCCGTGAGAGAACCGAATCTTAATAATAAACAGTACATACAATGACGATTTTATATCACAACTGGAGATATAGTTTTGAGATAAGGAATCTGAGGATATTTGGAGGAAGAATCAAAATAAATTTGACTGTAGAAATTGCATAATATTTCTCGAAATTAACCTTAAGGAAGGATAAATTACGATGACTTTAAGAAACTTTTCTTTCTGGAATTTTTAGTATTAGGGACATTTGCTACTATTATATCGAACAAATGCACTAAAATTTTGTTAACAAACATTAAATTGTTAATTAATTGCATAAATTAAAAATCTGTGCATTAATATTTTTTCCGTAAGCAATACAGTGCAGTACGTCAAATCGTATTACACGCTGGGGGATTCTTGCAAGATTGAGATTGTTCTTTCACGGCAATACGAGAATCATGAAATCACGAAAGTTCCTTCGACGAAAAAGTATACTGAGGGTATATTCGTCACAAGTGCTCTGTCTTTCAATATGAATAAAAATAAGACATTAAATGGAAATATAGTATAATTTAATGGCACTTTTTTAATACAATTTCACTCCGTTTAAAAATAAAAATAAAAATAGGAAAATATAACAAAATACGACATATGGATATATAACTCAAAAAAAAAGTGAAAATCTAACAATTGATACGATGACATTTTTTATTACATAATATTTTGTACAAAAAATAAGAAAGACATAAAATGTACAATATATTTTTATTAGAATTATTATCAGTTAAGGTATAATGTTGTATTGCCTGTTTTAAAAAATATATAAAACTATTAAATTATCTTTATAATGTAATCGCGTTTTTTACAATAAATATTTTGTATATGCATAAGTATAAAAGATTAATTTTAAAATTTTATAATTTTTATTATTACTTTTCTATTATTTAACTATTCTATTATTTACTTTTATTATTTATTAGTTATTGTTTAATTCGTTTTTTTCTTTTCTAAATCATGTCTAACAAATGTTACCCGTATATGAATTGTGTATTCTCGAATCATATTTATTATTCGATGTTCGAATCTTTATAAAATTGTATATTTTGTATAAAGAGAGAGAAATTTCAAAAGAGGGAAAATTTTTGTCGAATATCCTCTATTAAGATCTTTGAATAGATAAATATAAATATGAAGATGAATTTGAATACAAATAACATCTGTGTCATACGTTGAATCGTGTTTTAAAGAATAGAAAAATAAAAAAATTAATATTATCGTGATCGTTGTATCTCTGATTGTCTTGAAAACTCTATTATGTACACACGAATAGCGAATGGTGGCACTTCGCATTTCTTCAGCTCCGGAAACAGGGCACGCAATTATGGTTATTGTTGTATGTACATTGCTATTCACAGCGATCGAGGTTGAACGATTAAATAACATTCATGCTAATCTGAAAAGGTTTGTATTACTGTTTACATTTTATTTCTACTAAATTTATTTCTACTGGAATAAATAAATCGCGTACACACATTTTAGATAATTTCTAAATATAATTTTCAACAGAGTTCGCAATATTACTTCGTAAATTGATATAGAATATTATTAATGTATCGAAAAAATTTTATGTACGACACATTTATAAATTTTCGTTATAACAGAAATATTAATCTTTAAATATCTTCGAGATAGATTTTTAACATATTCTGTATAAATTAAAAATGTTATTATTATTGAAATTTAATAATTATTGCTAAAAGTGATTGCCAATACTTAAGACATGCATTGTTTTATTCAAGCATATTAACAATCCTAGAGATGGAACAAAATCAAGACTGTAGAGCTTTAAATAAAAATGTTCATGTGAGTATTATTGCAAATATAATAAATAATATTTATATATTCAATCGTATTCGTTTACGGCTTACATCATAAATTTCTTATCACTGTATTAGTCACTAGATGAAATCAATTATGATCGTCTTCTACACGAAGGTATGACGTATTTGGGTATGGCATTTAATGCGTACAACTGGATTATGTCAAATAACACAAAAAATATAATTCTTCACAAGACTGTGAATCTTTTACAGCTGGTAAGACATTAGAATCAACATCAGTTTAAAACTTGAAAAAAATAAACAAAGTAAAAGAGAAAAAATTACAAGAAATTATAACTTTTTAATATTAACAATGCACACAATGCGTAAACAGGGCTGATTCTCATTTGCCCATTTACTATATTATAATTTTTTAGTATTATAAAAGTGATGTAAAAGTAAAAATGATTCTTTTTAAAATTGATGAGGAAATATCGTAATTGTACTTTTGTGAATTGGTCTACAGCTGTAATTAATGTACATTAATTTTCGTGAATTTGATTATGCAGTAATATTGTTTTAATATTAATTAGAATAGCATTACAACAGCATACAATTTTATTTTTATTTAAAAAAATTATTTGTACAAATAAATTATAAAATTACAATAGATTATAAATTACAAAATAAATTATAAAAAAGATATTTGTACAGATAAATTATTTGTACAAATAATTTATCTTGAAAATTATAGTTTCGTAGTTACTATATTTTTTACAATATTTAATATTTTTATTCTTTCATGAATGTTAAATTTTCATGCACAGGTACAATATCGACATAAAAAAATGCTACGCGTATCTAACAATCTTCTTCAACGAAGAGTTGTGAATGGTATACGAGAAGATATGATTATTTCTCTTGATAACGTGATTCGAGAAAACGAGGTGCTTAGAATCGGAATTGGAGATGTAGATGAATATGATATTGACAATTTCGAACTAATTGCGTTTTACAATTGGCAAAGCAAGTTACGCATACGCAAAATTTTGATGAATAACATTAACACGCTAATGAGCAAGATTTATTGCGCATTCATCAAAAGGTATTCGAGTCTGTATTTCGTATTAACAAATTATTGTAAGAAAGCGACGTCATTTTTGCGTAACAATAGAAAACTTTTGAAATCAAGCAAAATTCATCGAAAAGAAGAACAGAATTCCTGCTGCAAATATCATTTTTTAAAGCAATTAATTTCTTATTGTAATATTGCCGCAGAATTTTTTGAAAAGGGATTAATAAAGTTAGCTGATTAATGCGTTTTTATTTATATCACTTAGTTTTGATAAAGTGACGACTTTTTGTTTATATCCCTTTTGTTGAGCTGTTTTGTTAAAACTCATTCTCATTGGCTTCAAAAGAAAAATGTATTTTTTCGTATGTATAAAATATATAATAAAATGGACATATTTGATGAATTGATAAAATGGACTATTTGATTTTTATATTTCATACTATCTAAAAGAGATAATAATATGATGAAATAATATGATATTATATATGCGATTATAAAAGACGTAATAAGAAAGGGATTAACAATTAGCTATGGCATATTTTGTTAAACAATAATTTATATTTCTAATTTCTGATTATTTATTGACTAGTTTTACTTTAAAGTGTTATGTCCAGAATCTATTACAACATTGCGGACAAGACTTAAATAAAATTTTCTAGCCAATTATTGCATAATTGTTATCTAATATATTTAAAAGAGTAAAAACTAGCTAGTTTTTATTCTTTTAAATATATTAACTTTAACCAGTAATCAGTTTTTTCTAGATATTTACTTGACACTACTGTTTTCTCATGAGATTAAGCTAAAAAAAATACGAGATAATAAATATAGTTTATAAACTTTTATTAGTAATTTCTGAATTTTTAGCATCCAGACTACTTAGTATTCGTGTCAGCTAATATCAAATAAGACGCTATTTATAATAAAACAGGTTTGCTTATTTTATGCTAATGCATTATAAATATTATTTGCGTGCTATTTTTCTTTCGCCAAATGCAAAAAGATGCAATGGAAGTTTTCTTTAGCCTTGCAAGATTTAGTAACGCTAGACAAATTTTCTTTTATAAGATTTTTGATTTTATTTTATTTTTCATAATATTATATATAATTATAATCTTTCAAAATATAATTTTTTGTACCGATTCGCTCGGATTCTTTATTATTTTCTACTCAATATAGTTTATCAAAGGTACATAAAAATAAATTAATTTAAATAATTTAAATTGAATTTAAACTTATACGCATTCCGTTTAAAGAGTCGAAAAGGTGTACGGTACGAAAGAATTTAGAAATTAAAGTTTCCTTGCAATTGTGCCTCTCGAGGACAAGCAACGAGCACTCATCAAGTTTGCAAAATCAGATTCACTGTTGTCCACTGGAGATGGCGCAATTTCTCTTGAAGCTCACGCAGAGATGATTCCAAAGTGCACGTAGATTCCAAAGAGCACGTGTTGTGCATAGCATTATCTATTGATTGTGCATTATCGCGGATGGCAGTGCACCTCTGAGACTCGCAGACGACGGTGGACGACGATTCGCATTCATCATCGTCGCGATGGCGAGCGCGCACGATGACAGCATCGTGCGTGCTGAGCAAGTTCTGACCAGCGAGGATGAAAGATATGCAGCGGTACATTTGAACGAGACCAACGAGACGAAAGAGAGCGCAGTCGTGGAGATCAGACGCTGGATTGAGGAGAGCGACAACTTGCGCGTGCGAACCGGTAAAGGCGATAACAATTTTCTTAAATCGGTTGAATGCGTTAAAATACGGCTCGGGACAATTCAATTATAATTCATTAATTCTGGATGATAAAATAGAATGATCTATTTTAGATTTATCTATTGGCATCGACGTGATGTTACGCTCAACTTAAGTTCTACACCGTGCGACAAGGAATATGAAAAAAGTCTAATATATAACGTTTGACTTTGTTTGGAAAAAAAAACGAAAACTAGAATTAAAAATTTTGACCTGACATAACATGATGACTTGATATAAAATTTGCATTGTAAATTTTATTGCATTATTCTAATATTCAATAAAATAATTTATAAAATTTATTTTTTAATTTTTTAATTTTTTTAAAAGTTCAAACGTTATATATTTAGACTTTTTTTCATATTCCTTGTCGCACAATGTAGAACTTAAGTTTGAGCGTAACATCACGTCGATGCCAAAAGATATCTAAAATAGATCATTCTATTTTATCATCCAGAATTAATAAATTATAATGTATACAAAAGAAATGCAATTTACGATATTATAATTGATAATTCTTAAACAGGATTTACATTATGTATATATGTACATATGTATTATTGTCTAGTCTCTTAATAAATAGTTCTTTAACAACATTTTTATCTTTACATATGATTCATCATATCGTATCTGGGATCATTTGAGATAAATTTTTATTAATTAGAGTCTATTAATGTATGTATCATATATATTAATAATACATGCTACGCATACGTTATAAAAATAAATTTATTATAAATAATTTATTATAAATTCTTTTATAATATATAATAATAAGTTCTATTATTAGTATAAATATATTTATTTTTTAAATAAAGTAATTAATCAAAATTTACTACCGTACATAAAATTTATGTACATTCATTCATTTCTGTATAAAAATAATTTTTGTGAGATTAGACATGCATGTAAAAGTATATACACTATTAAAAAAAATTATTATGTATTTATTTATTATGTATTTTAAAGATTAATAAGAATCGAAAGTAGAAACGAAAATACTAAAAGCAAAATGCCAATGTATCATAATAGTTTCTAATAGGTATCGTAATATATATTACGTTAGTTTTAGGACAAAAAGCAAGTAAAATTAATTATTTATGAAAGACTTCATATTCAGGATTGTTATTATATTCGATAAATATATCGAATTTTGTTCATTTTTATAGTTCAAGCTTTTATCATTGAACTAATATCTAATATAATATCTTTGTATATTTAACTTGTATGACAAATATTATAAATTATAATGAGATACAAATTTTTAATATCTGTTTAGAAATTTAATTAATGTTTGTGTTATTTTGAATTGATAAAATACTTAAAGGTAAAGGGTCTTTCTAGTCCAAAAATAAAAATGTTTTTATTATATTTTCTGAAAGTACACTATCCCAAAAAAACGTAGTTCAATTTTCATGAAGAAATTCCAAGTAGTTTGAATTTTACATAGGACTATTTTTACATAGGAATGCAAAAGTTGATTTTTGTGAAAGACAACAATTGGATTCATCCCTACTTATTCCCTACTCATAATAATGAGCTTTTGATGAGGTCAAAAGTATCCTGTCTGGAACTGGAATTGCTGATTAAGAGACAGATAAATATAGACGAATATGAAAAATGTTTAATTTTAAATGCTTTTTCTTAAAATAGTGTTTTCCGATCTGGCGGAATAAAAATTTTCGAAACTATGCATCTAATTGATTTCAAATTTTAACTACTGCTACTCAATATATCTTTAGCTATCGTCGGAACTAGAATCGAGTTGATTGATTCATTTTTATCTACTTTTTATTTAGAAAACATCAGAAATTTAGCAAAAGTCATTATTTTTCTTTAAAAACATCCGCACATTTTGTTAATTTTGCAGAAAAGTGATTGATTCTAGTTCCAGCGATAACCATTGATGTGTAAATTAAGAATCTATTTGAATTTTTAAAATCCGTTGAGTCTACGAAAATATATCCATTTTGCCGCCGAGGCAACTCGCATTTTCGATACGCACGGGTTTGGCTAAAAAAGGACTGAAATCGCGCATATTTCTGTATCATAATAGTTGTTCTTTTTTTCTCAAAGATTAAAATAATAAAGGCAAATAAGTTTTTAATCTATGTCTATTTATTCTTCTATTGATTATTTAAACAATTATAAAATTTTGCAAGCATAGATCAGAATGATCCTTTAATCGCTTTATATTTTTAATGAAATAATTAATTAAATTTTACTATTAAGTAAATATTAAATTTTGTATTATATAATATGTTTATATATACAACTAAACTACTAAAATGTTAAATAATTGATTTTAATCGTGAAGAAAATAAACTCTAGAAGTTTTAATATGAAAATTAAGATCGCATTAGTCTCAGTATTATATCAACAACATTGTAGTTATATACTGTTAATAGAGTATAATTGAGATCATAATTACGCATGCGCATACAGCTGCATATAGCAATTGCATTATTAGCTTCTGTAAATAGAACTCGTATTAATTTGCATTATTTAACGCTTTGCTTTTTAACTTTTTATATCGTCATTTTTTCATATCGATTATATTGCATCAATTTTTTAACATTCATTATAAATTCTATAAGATTTAAATTTCTAATTTATACATTCATATAAATTTATGTACTACATAAAAACTATAAAATTTATATATCTAAAATACCTGATTATAATTTTAAACAGATGTGAAATAAATGAAATAAGGCACAATTTAATTATTCGATTAGATTATACAAAACATGATTCAATTTTTTTCAAGAATTATTTGTAACAATTCATGGTTAAGGAACTTACTAAATATTAATAATCAAAGTAAATATTAATGATTAAGCACCTTTTTAATTTAAGGCATAATTAAATTACCAAATATATTGACATAATTAAATTATTATATATGTACTGTAACATATTTCATTGTATAATATGTGTGATATATGCGTATTATATTTCACGAAACAATAAAGTCAAATAGTCGGGTTTATTTCGCTCTAGAAATTAGAATTTAAAGAAGAAAGCCAGCAGCTACACAAGAATATAATATTTTTCTTCGACATTTACTTATTTAAGGAATTTAATTATATATGTAATAATCAAACATAAGATTGAATTCGATTTTTGCAAATCGGATTCACGTAAATAACATAACATTATTATGTCGTTTATTACTTTGATTACTTTTCGATTTTAGTGTGATTTGATCAGTTCGACTCATTGACTTATTATTTATTAATTTAGAACGATTAAAGACTGCATGATTTTTCGATAATGAACTCCATAAACTATGTTAAATGGATTCCAATCGACGCGAGTTGACTTCTTTTAATAAATATTTTGACTTCCGGCTTGATAATTATCATTATAACTATATATAATCATAGCTACATTAGACGCAGATGATTAAAATTTGCATGCTGTCAAATTCTGCAGCGTTTTGCATTTCCTTAAATGGCGCAATGTAGGTTTTAAATGTTGCCACGTAGGCTAATTTTATGGTTGCAGCTACACGGGCGCAACATCGCGCGAGTGAATATAAATTTATGTATATATAATTCTAATTAGTTAAATAGAATGGTAATTGTTAAGAGAGATTAAAGAAAAATTTTTTTTCTTT